CTACGGCCACCATGGCTCCGAGCTCCTTCTTGTACCTTGCCAGACGGGCCGCGCCAGAAGCGGAGGAGCGAGAGGAGGACCATGATGCAGTGCGCTGACAGGGAGCGCACAGCACTACAGGACCAGTCCGAATGCGGGAGGAGGAGGAGATACTGGCCTCGACGCGGGAGGAGGAGGAGGAGGAGGAGGAGGAGGAAAAGGAGGAGGAGGAAAAGGAGGGGGAGAGGAAGCGAGGGCGACGAGGAGAGATGATGGTAATGATGAAGTTGATAATGATGACGATGACGACGGCGATGGTGATGATGCTGGTGCTGATACTGATACTGATGCTGATGCTGGTGCTGATGCTGATGCTGATGATGCTGATGGTGATGATGATGACGATGATGCTGATGCTGATGCTGATGCTGATGCTGATGATGATGATGATGATGATGATGATGATGAGGATGATGATGATGATGATGATGATGATGATGATGATGATGATGATGATGATGATGATGATGATGATGATGATGATGATGCTGGTGATGCTGATGCTGGGTAATGGTGATGATCCTGATTATTGGTCGTCATTACCATCAATATCATCAGCATGGTCATCATGAGGGAGCGCGCCCACACAGCTTCATCCGACTCGGCCTCGGCCGCTGTGCGAATCAAAAGGTCGCCAAGCAAACTGGACACACCACACGAGCCGATCTGCGATAAGGAAGCACATGCATGAAACCGTGCCATCAAGGATAAGCCAGCGTGCCGTATGCGGAACGACTTGAAAAAGCGAGGAGGAGAGAGCGCAAGGGAGGGAATCAAGCGAGATGCCAAATGCGGCCGAGCAGCGGCTGTCACTAGACACGAGCTGTACAAGCACAGCTGAGCACGCACGAAGAACTCCACAAGCCGCTCCAGCAGGGCGGCCAGGGCGGGCGGAAACTAAGGCTCGGCACGGCCACACTTCTAAACCACACGGTAGGGCGCCATGAACTGTTCCGCAAAGGAAAAAAAGGAAGGAGGAAAAAGGAAAAGAGCGGGAACGGGAAAGCAGGGCGCCAGGACAAATTTCGGGTGGGTGTACCAGGCAGTGGTATACAGTTAAAGCCTGAGTCCGTGAGTGATAGGGTAAGCTTGCGAATGAGCGTGGTGCCCAACGAATCTAGTGAACATCAAAGCTGGGAGAGCGTGACGGCAGTTCCGAAGCTGGCGCGACCTACGGGCCTCAACGCATCATCATGATCATGATGATGTTGACATCGACGGCGATGATGATGATGATGATGATGATGATGATGATGATGATGATGATGATGATGATGATGATGATGATGCTGATGCTGATGCTGATGCTGCTGCTGATGCTGATGATGATGATGATGATGTTGATGGTGATGGTGATGGTGATGATAATGATGGTGGTGCTGATGATGATGATGATGATGATGATGATGATAATAATAATAATAATGCTGATGATGCTGATGCTGCTGCTGATGGTGGTGATGAAGATGAAGATGAAGATGAAGAAGATGATGATGATGATGATGATGATGCTGATGATGATGCTGCTGCTGATGATGATGATGGTGTGAAGGTCTGTAGGCCGCTTTGGGGTCCTCTTGGGCCGTCTTGGGAGCATGTTGTGCGTTCTTGGGGTCGACTTGGGCCGAAACTAGCCGAGGGAGATTGGATGGGGCGCGGCGAGCCCTGCGAACCTCCTCACACTCCCCCTTTCATCACTTCCCCAAACGAACGGATCGCGACGCTACGCGCGCTTTCCGTCAACCCTTTCCCACCCCCTGCACTCTCCATCCTGCCGCCGGCCCAATCTGCCCCGCGCTGGAGGCCCCACCCTCGCGGAGGCGCAAGCGGCGACGCCCCCCCCGTCAGCGCGCCGTCGAGGTCGACGGCGCACCCCCTGCAAAACTCCAGCACCTGCGGGGGGAGGTCGGCGAGCAGGCTCTGAACCATCCCTAGCTTGGTGCATCGGCGCACTGACGACTCGGTCTGCCACCGCCCTCGCGCCATCACGGTTGCCCCGTCGCGCTGCTCTCCGACGAGGTCGCGGGCGGCCCCTCCGCGACGGCACTGGCAGAGCGACAGTCTCTCCTTGATGCCGAGCTGCCAGCTGATCGCGTTGACCCCCCCCAACGCGCCCTTCAACTGAAAGTCGAACAGCAGGGCGGCCCGCTCTCGCCCCCGGGCCCGACGATGGAGCCCACCCCGAGGTTCCCGAGGCAAGCTCTGGTCAAGCAGGAGGCCGTTGTCGAACGCGCCGTCCCTGTCTGGCACCGTCTCGCCCAGGCCCCCGCCGATCACGGCGCCGCGCTTGAACCCGCGACCTGCCCCCGAAACCGGAGGAACCACGTCCATCGCGCGAATGCTGAGCCCCTCCGACGGCCTCTGGTAGCACGCGAGCGGCACCGAGGGGGGGAGCGACACGCCCAGCCTGTCTCGGGACGCCGCGCAGCTGGCGATCGCCGCCGCGACGACCCACGTCAGCGGCAGGAGGCTTGTCGGCGGCGCCTCCTTCCTCCATCCCTTCGACGCTCTCTGGGCGCGGACCAACGGCCAGATCTGCCCGATCTTGGCCCTCGCCCGCTCGAAGTGCACGGCAGCGATCATCTTCCCCCGGTGGCGGCCCGTGCCCGCCCGGGAACTTGGCGTCGAAGTGGTCGACCAGCACGATGTCCGTCGCAGCTCCGACCCCCAACGGCAACCCGTTCTCCGCGCAGAAGTCCTCGAAGACCTCCGGGTGAACCCGTCGTCGCACGTGGCCCGCGCTGAGAGGCCCCGCTCCTCCAGCCTGGACTTCTTGCCCCGCCACGCCAGCAGCATTCCCCATCGGGGACTCCGCCTCTGCAGCCAGCCGCTCGCGAGCGGCCGTGGCTGGGGCCTCGTGGCTGCCCTGCGCGGCGGGCGCCAGCTCCGTCGCCGCCGGCCTCGCCTCGCGGGTCGGGCGCCCCAGCTCGCTCGACCCCCGCGCCGCGGTCGCCCTCGCTCCGCCGTCTCTCGAGCCCGGGAGGCCCCTCGAAGACGTCGGCGCCGAGGGTCAGGGTCCGAGAGGCCCGCGAGTTTTGCTTTGCCGCGCAGTCAGCTGGCGGACCTCCGAGGCGACCTGCAGCGGCAGCGGCGCCGCGCTGACGGCCCTGCCCCCCGAGCCCGCGAGGCGGCTCGCCCGCGACATCGCGATCGCTGGGGGCCCATCTGGGACGGGGGCGACTGTTGGTTGCTAAAGGAAGCAGCCCCACCTGCAGACAGGCCCAAAGCAAATCACACGAACACGCACGCCCTGTGGATAAAGCGAAACACAACCCGATATTGTCCGCCAAGAAAACGCGACGCCCCCCAAAGTTGCGGAGAGCCCTTGAGAGCCCCCCGAGCGCCAAGACAACCAACCCCCCCTCCTTCAGCGCGATGCGCCCCCCCCAAAAAAAAACTGCCAGCCACCAAACAACACCGCCTTCCTGACCTGGGCCACCGCGAGATCCACGGGCACCTCGGAGACATCAGGGCCCCCGTTGCATCGGCAAGAATCCCAATCGCCAGCTTCGCCCAAAAGGCCTTCGCGAACGACCCCAGGGGCCCCGAGATGACCAGCGCTCGCGAGATCCAGCCCGAGAACCCGAGAGCGCGGCCCCCACTGGTCAGGCGCGAGTCTCTTGAATCTCCACCTCTCGTTCCAATTTCCCAGATATGAACGGCATGCCGCGGCCCGATGCAGAAGCGCCCGCGCGCGCGACAGCCCCGCCCCAACTCTGACGAAGGTCGGCCACGCGCAGAGGGAGGAGACCGACAGTGACATGACATCAGTTGCCGCAGCTCGGCCAGGGTCGCTCTGGCTGCCCAATCTGCGCAGCGAAGTCATGCGCGCGACGGAGCGCGGGCAAGGCCTCTCCACCACCTTCCCTCTCACGATGGCCCCTTGACCCATCCACTCGAAAACCTCGATCAGCGCCCAGAGCTTCTCGGCGTCGGGCCGCGGCGCGCAAAAGCCACCATCGAGGACTGGCCCAGCACGCGGGCGACGAGGCCAGGTCCCAGGACATTGCATATCGAAGCATCTTCACTAACGCAGGCCCCTGCATTGAGGTTGCCACAGAAACACGCACACCGCGCCAACTTCATTCACGCAAGGAGCCCGGCGCCCGTCGAAGCAAACTTCCCCACGAGGCACCTCCTTCAAAGCAACTGGTACACGGTGCCCCTGCGCCAACCAAAATGACCACGCGAAGCCTATCGGTAGCACCCGAAGACACATCGATACAAGCCCCTCGTCGCCAAGACCTTCCAGAAGCACCCGACTGACACCAATCAACTTCAAAGAAGTCACGCACACCCTCGGGAATACTGCACTCACGAGAGCAATCCTTTGCCTACAATCTAGAACTAGCCTTTGCTTCCCGGACACGTTAGAACGCTGATGGCCCCGATGCGGCCCGCGGTGCGGCGCGAAAACCACGCGGGGCCCCTGAGCGCAAAGCTGGCGGCAAAACAACAGGAGCCGCCTGGCCTCGACAAAACAGGATCCGCGCAGAGGAGGGGCGCTAGCCGCCTGCTCGGCGATCACACCCCACGCAGCTGCACCGACGAGCATTCGCCCCATGCAAGCACAAAGGCACTCGGGAGGCGCGCCAACCAAGACCGAGACCAGATCTACAACTTCGAGAAAAGACAAGTTCTGGAAAATCATGGGGAACTTGGCCCCTTGCCCAATATCCCCCGCGTAGGAGGGCTGCTGATGAACTCGGAGCTCCTTCAAGGCCCCCGAGCGGGCGAGACCCGCGGGCCTAGGGCCCAGCTCACGAAAGCTGCCAAAACGATGCCCAAGACCAGCACGCTGGCACTGCGGCAGACTCACTCGGCCACTGGCACCCGGGGGGGCAGGCCAATCGCGGGGCCCGAAGTATATGAGATTGAATGAATCGACGCACGCGTTGACCTGCGCGGCGATGGCCCGTCGGCGCAGCAGCCGCCTCTCCGTCGCCCTGCTCGGGCGCTGCCCTTGATCGAGCTCCAGAACAGCAAGCCGCGGCAC